GGCGGCGGCGGCGGCGGAAATCCGAACAGTGCCTCGTGGAGCGACAGGAGCCTGCAGCAGCCCTCGCAGGCCGGAGGAGGGGCGGGGAAGGCGGCGAGTTCCTGCCCGCCCAGCGAATGTATGCAGCCCGGCGGGGGGGGCGCCTGGGGCTCCCCGGCCGCGGGGGTGGCGCCCTCCAAATCCAAACCCCCTCCCTTCCCCGGGAATCCGGAGGGTTCCCTTGGTGGCGGCGGTGGGATTCCCGGAGACTGGAAGAGCGCGGTGGTGGCGGCGGCGGCGGCCGGCGGCAGTGCCAACTTCAACCCCAACGCCAACCCCTCAGCCTGGCCCGCGCTGGTGCAGGACGAAGGGGGCGCCGCGGAGGGCGGTGGCGTGCCCGGGGCCCCCTCCTCTGTCCCGCCTCCTCCTTCCACCTCCGCCGCCGCCGCCGCCACCTCCCCCGGTCCCTCCCTCCACCCGCCCGCGCCCTCGGCTTCCGGGAACCCGGCCGGCCATCAGCACCAACTTCACCAAATGCAAGGCAGGGATCGCCACAAAGAGGACTGGGCCGCGGGGAAGGAGCACGGACAAGGGGCGGGACCAAAAAAAGCAGGGAATGGGAACGGGGCCGCGGGAGAGGAGGTGGACTGCGGAGGGGGCGGCAGGGCTGGAGAAGGAGATCCCTCCCTCTCCTCCTCCTCCTCCTCCTCCTCGTCGTCGACCGCCTCCTCTGCGTCCTCTTCCTGGAGAGCCCCGCCTTTCTCCTCGCACCCCAAGCCGGCGGCCGCGAGGACTGACGCTTGGGAGGGCAGGGGAGGGGGCAACGGGGGAGGCGCGGGGGCGGCGGGAGACGCCACGGCCCCCTGGGGCTACAGCGGCGGCAGCAGCCAGGAAGGGAAAGAGGGAGCTGGAGGGGGCAGAGCTTGGGGTCCGGGCGGTGGGGGCAACAGTAAGGCCCCCGGGGTATCTCAGGGAGCGTGGGGGGCGCCGGGAGGAGGGGAGGAGCTTTCTGTGGGGGAGTGGGGCAATTCCGGAGGGGGAGGGGGCAGCTGTAATCAGCCGGCTGTCTCTTCGCCCACCACTACTATGACAAGAGCTTGGGACAATCAGAAGGGGGGGGAGCTGGGGGCCGGGGGGGAGTGGGGCTCCGCGAGGGGCGCGGGTGGGGGCCAGGGCAGTACAGGGAGGGGCGGAGGCGGGGCGCAGGGCTCTCTGCCGTCGTCCTCCTCCTCCTCGGGCAGCGGGGGCCGCTCCAGGGCGGGCGGGGGGGGCCACAATCAGCACCACTCGCACCACGGCCACGGCCACCACCACCGGGCCGGCCCGCTCAGCACCCCCGAAGTGGCCTTACAGAACCTGCTCAGCAGGACCGACCTGGACCCGCGGGTGCTGTCCAACTCCGGCTGGGGCCAGACCCAGATCCGGCAGAACGTGGCCTGGGACGTGGAGGGGGGCGGCGCCCCCGG